CTATCTCGAGATCTCGACTTATTATCTCGAGATCTCGACTTATTATCTCGAGATCTCGACTTACTATCTCGAGATCTCGACTTATTATTTTTTTTTCCGTTTACAAAATGTCCCCAATGAGCTTTCATACTATTTCGCTGGTAGTGCGTTTTAATTTTACACGGCCACAAAGGACGCGCGCGTGCATTTCTACAAGAAACGCTATTCTGCCCGCGTTATGATATACTACTATAATATTAAAAAAATAAATGTTACAACAAACAACGTGCTTTATTGCCATATATACATATGTAAAGTCTTCACAGTATTATAATATCACCGTGTGTGATCTGTCTAGTAGCATCTTGGGTGATTTAGATAATTAAATAATACAAGATATACTATATACAGTTTTATTATGTGCATGACAATACAATGTGTCGACCGTTTTTATTTGAAAATCATTTTTCTTTCTATAACTAATGATTATAGCGCAATATAAATACCCATTTTTGTGATTTGGTAGAACCTGTGAACAGTTATTATAAGCTATCGAATCAGATTGTTTTTTTATCAGTCACGTGACAGAAAGTCTTCCGTGAGATCGGAGCGGCCACATCTCGACAATGCACGCGCCAACTTCGGGACTTTGTTACAGGATCTTGGGAGCGAGCTTCGCCATGTAATTAGCATATCAAATATTTGTTGTTGAAGATCATTGGGATTGTTCCGCACAATGCTTTGCATTCGACTGCGCTTGAGTCCCAGGTACGCCGCCAACGCCTCCCACTCGTGACCAAGCTCACCGGACAGCCATCGTAGAATGGAATTACTCACGTGAGGATCTGGAGGGAATAAAAACAAAGATGTATATATACCAGCTACTATTAGTAGTTTTAAAAACGTAGATTGTATTGGTTAAAGCGGTGGTGTCGTCACTTGCGCATGCGTCAGAAGGCCATAGCGTGCTATTGTTTACAAACAAGCGTCTACCCATGAGCCTTTGCGGTTTAGCGTGTGTTGTTATCATCGCTTGGGACTCAATTCCCGCGCGTGCGCAGGTGACGACGCTCCCGCTTTAACACATGATTACATATGGAACTTTCCTCGGGGGTGATTAAGTGCACATGATCTACATTTGTATTACAACACACAAAATAGAAGAAACATTGAAGCCACTTGTAATCAGAATTGAATGACCACAGATCATAAGGTGTCTACCGCATTGTCCCAAGTGAACATTATTCGTTACATTGTTATGTTAATGGCGCAAAGTATAGTTGAATACTAGTACAGTTACGACACAGGGCTCGAGCATCGTGTCCTACCTTTGGATTCGAGGGCCGTGGCACGGAATCTGCTAGGAGGACGAACAGGGTCTGGCTCAGCCTGGAGAAATAACAAATAAATCGGTTAAATTAAATCCACGTGAACAGTTGAAATTACAATAGAACTCAATGTTTCACTGACAAATCCAGTGGATAATATACCCCAGTGAGTTTAATATACCCCCAGTGAGTATACTCACGATGCCAACATTGTGAAATTAAATCCCAGTAAAAATGAATGCATGTTTCTAACATATTTCACGTGCATATGCGAAATCACAGTCCTTGGGACAGAGGGTCTGTGGCGAAATAAACAATTCTTCAATTCATAAAAAAAGAAGTTCGATCTAATGAAATGAGCTCGTTGTGAGCATGGACATACAAACACTTCTCAGTATATTCATGTTGTATGGTTTCTGATATTATTCGCCACGAGTGTTGTGTCTTATCTCATCATCTGCCAACATTTGTTTATGGTAACATTGCGTCGTCAAGATGAAACCCTCTGTTGTGAAGTAACGCGCTGTGATGTTGCAATGTACATCACTGTTACGTAATTCATTGCGTTATCAGCGCTCTCATCACTGCTGAATTTCGCGGTGTGAGAGAGACGTATTCACGAATACCAGTACTCACCTTCGGCAGAACCACCGGCAATTTACACAATAAATCACTTTTCGTCTTGCCTTTAGTCTCTTTTAATTCTCTGGCTTCTCTAGCTGCCTTCTTAGCATCTTTGCCATCTTTCTTTCCATCTTTAGTCTCTTTATCAGCTTCGAATTCGTCTTCTTCTTTCTCTTCCAGAGTTACTCTTGGAATCCCGTAAATTTCTGCCACACCTTTATAGTAAGGAGAGCTGTGGTTGCCGTATTTATTAGCCTCTCGGATCCTGAACTCGATCACATTTCGCCGCTGCACATGCCAGTTTAAAGTCAGTTCTGTTTCGTCAACAACTTCTATATTTCCGGTAAATCTTTTGTAATGCGTGATAAAAAGAAGGATGTCACATTCCACTTATCAACACGTGGCGTGACGCGAATATGTGTATATGCATGTTGAGGGCGCAATAACCCACATAGGAAAAACCCCATTTCAAAATGGTTCGATTTCTCCTAAAATGTTAAAACTTTCAAAAAGTTTGGTACACTTTAATCGTACATCGATACAAGGAATATTCAGTCTGATCACTTCATAAAATGGAGAGCTATAAAAGTCACCAACAAAAATATTTAACTATCAGGTGGCAATCGAATCCTGGCATATGTTATCATTATGAATGTATCTGGAGTCCCATGCATTCACGTCTTGTATATCATCAAATGCGCCCTCTATGGCAAGCCGATGGTTGAATCATGATAGACATGAAACCACGCTCAGAACGTTCAGCGAACAGTTGAAATATCTTTCCATCGTTTCATCGCACTTGTTTATTTATTTATTTATTTATTTATTTATTTATTTATTTATTTATTTATTTATTTATTTATTTATTTATTTATTTATTTATTTATTTATTTATTTATTTATTTATTTATTTATTTATTTATATTATTTTATTACCTTATTCTCAGCAATTGTCCTTCCGTCATTGGCAACTCTGTACTTGGATCAGGTGGTCCCTCGTATCCCATATCCACCAACCTCCGTTCCGTACTGTCCAATGACCTGCTCTGTACAACTTGAACTATGACCTGCTCGGCATCATCAACTTTTGGGTGCAGTATTACGCATGCGTACTTGATTTGTAAGGAATCCTCCAATGACTGAACAGCCTGCTCCAATGGTAACGTAGACTGTGCCGCATAACGCACGCCGATTATTCTGAGATAAAAAAAAAAACACTCATAATATGAATATAATTAACCTTTAACCTTGAATATTACTGTGTACTAGTATGTACATGTCTACAAGCTGGCGTACGAGTACATGTTTGGGTAAATGTGGCAGTAAATTGACCAATGACTGAGGAAATTTACATCGAAACATGGGTGAATGAAGCAAGGATCTTCAGGAATAAATGTTTTATGAATATTTTATAAATTTCCATAAAAGCCGTTCATTATATCACCGCCGGCGTTGCTTGCAGGTCTACTCCAAAAGGACACCCGTCATTGAAGTTAAACCTAATAATTGACCACGTTGACGCATGGCTAGATTTGTCTAAATTGTCTAAGTCAGCAGACCAGTTGTTTTTTGTAATAACAAGGATATTGTGTTAGAATGTGTTATTAAATGGTCGTCGCGCCGCGTGATCGTGTTCGACCCTCGCGTGACCGACTCATAGCGACACATACAACGCGAACACGCGCTGCGAGACGACAGCCACCCTTTAAGTTGAATTTAAATTATTTACTAGTATATTACGCGTTTTATGGTAAGTAATGTATCGTAATGACAGGATGCTATACGTGATTCAGACAGCGAACAATAAAGCACAACTTGTGGGTTTAAATCCAAATAAGCCTACTAGATCCAGACGTCAAATATCGGGACGTGTCTAGGCAATTTAATGTCGTATGCGACTGTCGGCACGAGTCACGCACTGTGAACGCGGCACCTTGTCGCCTTATTCGGTGTAATATACTTACCTGTCAACTGGTTTATCTAGATTGAACGCAACCACGTCTTTCTTTAACACTTTCACTTCAACTTCCATCGGCGTCCATGGAGCTCCTTTACCGGAATCCATTCTTGAGAGTATACGAACAACGTCATTGGTGTGGTCGCTGCCAAATATAGCGCTTCTGGGACGAACCAGGAAACCGCTAGTTGGCCGAGAAAAGGGATCCTTAGCTGTGGATGGACGACTAGCTGGTTTATCCTTGGCTGGGTTAGGTGGGATGTACAGTACTACGGTGACTGGTTTGTTGAATTCTTTTTTGCTTGAGTGTGAGATACGTAAAATCGGGCTTGAAGTAATCAGATCACGACAATGACGTAATCGCGATTTGATATCGCTAACTGCGGTCAACTCTACTGGGTGTACCTGGAGTTGGAAAAAAAAAATAATTTTGTCATATGCGCTAAGACAACTGAATTTAATGAATCAATAGCAAATCATCATTGTAATAATTGCTAAGATACACATATATATTGAAAACAAAGCATAATTTTCTATTATCTCTATATAAATTGTTTTGAATTATGACTGAAAGAAGCTGAATGAAATTACAAACTATGTAGTGTGTACAGCAGCTTGTATATGAACAATAATTTCAATAATTATAATTTTACTTGGTAAAACTATTGTATTTTTCTTTATAAAAATATTCGAAAAAGTCTTTTTCTGTATTGTGTGAACTTGAAAGCGTAAAATGAATGGGTGTATTCTGCAATTATACGCTGTAATGTATTTTATACGTCGTTCTAACTACACTTCACATTACAATATAAAACACTGTTACATTCACACCACGTTACAATATAAAAGTTACATTCACATCACGTTACAATATAAAACACTGTTACATTCATATCACGTTACAATATAAAACACTGTTACATTCACATCACGTTACAATATACACCACTGTTACATTTACTTCACGTTACAAAATACACCACTGTTACATTTACTTCACGTTACAAAATACACCACTGTTATATTCACCTCACGTTACATATACAACACTGTTACACTTACTTCATGTTACAATATACACCACTGTTACATTTACTTCACATTACACATTATAATATACAGCACTGTTACATTTACTTTACGTTACATTATTATACAACATACGTACTCAGGTATGTGCTCGTAATATAATATTACTGTGAAATTACCTGTAATACAACACTTGTAAGACCACATGCTCCAGGAGGATACGTTACTGATATTCTAGAATCCACGGATGATTTTATGGTACCGCCTTTCTTTGTAATCGTTACACGATCCCTGGTCCATCGTACCACCACGGCAACTTTACTCAGCTGGTTGACTTTAATTTCGGCAAATAGTTTCTGCAACGTAAGACGGGTAAAATGTAGGCTGTCTTTTAAGTCAAACTATGTCGTGTAAAAATCCAACACAATATTTTATGTACGCATATTAAAGCGGGGGAGTCGTCACCTGCGCATGCGTCAGATGGCCATAGCGTGCCATTGTTTACAAATAAGCGTCTACCTATGAGCCTTTGCGTTTTTAGTGTATGTTGTTATCGTCGCTTGGGACTCAATTCCCGCGCGTGCGCAGTGACTGGTTGGCATGAACTCGTTGTTTGCACCCGAAGATCAAATAACGGCGTTGTGCGCTGCCGTTGTTATTGAATATACATGTATGTGTCCCTGATAATAAAACAAAGTTGTCACAACAGATCGTGAGCTACCGTTGATCAATGAACGACATTTTTGGCAGTAATTCTGGTTGGCAAAAGGAAAAAAATTACATCACAGTGCGATGGTCTATAATAGAAAGAGTGCCGACTATAAAGACAGAACGTTGTATTTAACAACTTTAGAAAACAGATATATCGTTAAACGGAGATTTTCAATTTTAACAGGACAAACAATCACTGATTCGAGAGTTCACAAAAACGACACCAATGTCCTGTCTTCGTTACTCGTGCACACATCGCTCAAAAATGCAACGCAGTGATGACGTCATTGTAAAGACGCAACAGCCCCGGAAAAAGGAGACGTTATCAGAAAATATGAGAAATTTACCTTTCCGTCAGAGAGAGTACCCTCTGAGGTGGTCGTTGGCATTGTCTTCCATTCGATGCCATCCAGGGACGTTTTAACGATAGACTCTCTGGCGTACGATGCCCTCGAATGGGTCATATATGGGATGGCAATGCTCACGGGTGATGTCAATTTCATATTGTCGCCAGGAAGATGCAAGTCGATCACGTGACTAACTAGTTGCTCATTCTCATCAACAACGTTGCCACTCAGATGATTGGCCAAATCACACGTTATTTCATTCTCGGCAAAGTTCAATTGTTTGGCTCGAAGGATGCACCCCAGCTCCGTTTCATCACTGTCCTTTGGCTGTATATAATACCTAGATAGTAGGACAAAAATAGAATACGGATTTGAAGTTTGTGGGGAATTTTTCAGAAATGCCAGAACAAATCATGTGTTTGACGTAATAAAGGGCGGTAGTCATCGCGCCGCGACCTGGTCGATATGGGACTCATAGCGACGTGCACAACGCGTGTAAAATACATCGTTTGTGTACATGAAATTCGAACACGCGCTGCGCGACGACCACTTCCCTTTAAGCTGTAGATTGTTGGCGTCGTTCCCGACGAGTGACTTTGTTAAGATCAAGTCAATATGGAATTCACGGCTGATGGTGCTTTTTACACATCGCTTTAAACATCTTCAACTAAATTACGTGCGCCCGCAATTGGACAATAGATTTAATTTAATGGAAATTGAATTTCCTCTGAAAACTGAGTCAGATACGTGTAAGTAAAATAGTTTGCAATAATGACGACTCGGATGTAGTCGATTAACTGATCTGTAATTCGTGTTTTCAAAAGAACAATGCGATTGTCAGAACCTCGTGGTCAAAAAACGAAAATTTCAATATACACATCATGGTAGACCCTTTTATACCCGATGATGGTTTCTTGCTTTAGGTAAACGTTTTGTAGAAGATTTGTGACCGCATATATTTAAACTTTCATATTTTAATTCTCAGTTTACAAAATTTATTTAAAAAGCCATTCTAATGTTCCAATAAAAAGAATAATATGCAATATGTAGGTAACGAAGCGTGTGTATTGGTCCAAAATATAGACGGCTACCACCTCCAATGAGTTATGTTGGAACGTTAACAAAGGTGAAATATAATTTTGCATGATCAGTTTTGATATTAGCTTATATTATGCATATTTGTTCTGTACTTTCACATGAAAATATACTGATAGTCCACGAACCCCTCCACCCCCTCGTGTTCAGTGCATGGTTACTCACTTATACAGAATATCGTGAATTATTTCATCTTCAATATCTGGACTGGAATTTCTAGAATCGCCGTTTTGGTTGTTATTTTCCACAATATCTTTCCATTCTGTATTTTCTGTCTTTATTTCTCCATTTACAATCTTATTTTCGTCTTGTTCTTTTTTCTCCATCTTCTGGTTTTTCTCTTCCCCTTCCTTCTCTTCATCGCTTGATGAATCGCTGTCACTTGAACCACTTCCGCTGCTGTCACTGTCGCTATCACTCCCACTGCTACTACTACCACTACTACCGCTACTACTACTACTGTCACTTTCATTCCCATCCGCCTTCTTTTTCTCCTCTTCTTTTTCTAAAGTTTCATCTTTAGTTACAACTTGTTCTTTTTTTGCAATCTTCTCGGCAGCTTCTTCAGTTTCATTTTTATGTTTCAATGATTCCTCGGATGTTTTCTGTGCAATCACAGCGGCCTCGGCTGCCTTATTTTCCACCTCAGCGGCGGACTTAATAGCTTCCGCGACATCGATGGTGGCCTTAGCAAGACCGGCGGCGGCAGCAGCTGCCAATGCCTCGGCGTTTCTTTGCTCCACTGAAGGTTCGGCTGTAAGACAAAGATACGCATAACAGAAATATTATAGTTATTTATATATATATATATTCAATCAGAAATATATTCATAAGCTTGTTAAAATCGCGCTACTGTGTAGCAGTGTTAATGACCCTGAGGTACGTGGAGTCACGGCGACTTTGCGCAAAAATCATTAAAATCGCGAAAAATCGTAGCCGCAACAGATTTGCAGTATGCTGCACTAAATCACAATGTTGCTGGTAATATGTAGCTAGAAAGGATCCTTTCTAGCTCCATGCTGGTAATAACAACTCAGCTCCCGGGTATATCAGCTCACGTACGACAACCGAATCAATTGTTATAAGTTCGTTGCTTATTTACGACCACTCACTGTAAGCAATTGAACGTTTGGCAAAATAGAGAGATTATGTGCGGGAAATATGTATGATTGGCTGAACACACCCAATACACACCTGTTGATTTGTACTATTTCCATGACAACCAATTACATGGATACAATTGCTGGTGAATCAATGCATTGTAATTGTATGAAATGAAATTATAACGCAGGTAGTCGATGCGTGTACTGCGTCACCGTTAGTCTGTTTATGCGGGGACAGAGCATTGTACCGCTGTCGTGTCCCGGTTATATGCGACTTATACAGTGAATGACTGACGGGCAGAGACGTGTTAGCATTTCAGCCTCGTCGTCGAATTGACTAGATCGACTACAATATACATTTAGGTGCATCAAGGCACGAAAAGCGACAAATGTACCCATGTCATTGTGGTGATGCAATGGTGGCGTCCCTGTCTCTAGGGGCAATAGGGAGGACAATCGCATGTATGTATCGGTCGCATTCGTTGGAGGGTCAGAGTTCAGAGTTCGTTTATTTTACGTGCACACCGCGGAATGTGTACACCAAGCATCGACAAACAATAAACAAGTTGACAATGGTGGTCGCTATTATTGTGTTGATAGTTTGTTATATTTAGAACAGGTTACGTAGTTATTGTACTGGGATTGCCGCTAACGCAACTCTACCAAACAATCACCAAAAATGTTGTTTAAGACTTAAAGATCATGCTAGACAGACAACAGTTTCTAATCCTGGTGGGTGAACGGCTCAGTGTCCCATTGTCTTGTAAAATAGAGCTGTCCATATTCATTTATGTCTGAAAAGGAGTATGGGCTATAGTGGCGTAACATTCCTATCAGAATAACGAGTTGATAGCCCCAGTTAGTTACATCGCATATTTGTACACTCTGCCTTCACTGAAAACGCTATTACCGCCATGCTTCGTCGAATTATTATATATACTAAGATTTATTCTAGAACATAACTGACATTAAAAGGTAGCATCAACAAAAGCTATTTCTGCAATTGAATCCACCACTCTGAGCACTTAGACAGAAACGTTAACAAGCACGTCGCTTTGCTATTAATAGCTAAAATAAATAGCGTTTCCTTGTAACGAAAACCGCCAACAGTGTGTTTCGTTTTTGCTTCTTCGCTGTAATTGCGCGTGTCAATAGCAATGGACATTGTTATCGAGAGCACTTCGATGGGATCATCGATTGCCATGGTAACCGGGTGTTGTTGCGGGGAAACATCGCATCGTATAAGTGTTTATCAAATGTCATTAGCGGGCCGTGACACGCTGTATGTCAAATAATTAGTACATAATTGGAGTTAACACTCAATAAACTATTACGTATTCTTCGCGCAGTTCCTCAAGCACCAGTGAAACATTTATCAAGTTAATTTCACAGCTACATGTACTATTCTTTGATTGTGAATTGATATCATATGTTGCGTTCTGGGAAAGACTACTCGAAATGACAGACAACACGCATTGAGTTGATGGCCATGTAGTGTAGTGTAGCGCAGCGCAGCGCAGTGTAGTGTAGTGTAGTGTAGTGTAGTGTAGTGTAGTGTAGTGTAGTGTAGTGTAATCAACCACAAAATGAATGAAATGAATGAAAATCTAGAACAACAAACGGGCGACAACGTCAAAAATTGTTTTCGAGCGGAAAACTATCGGTTACTACGACAGACACGATGCAGCGAGTAAAACGTGGTTTTACAATTAATTTGTTTTATTGAATACACTCGCCTACTCTTGCTAGTATCGAAGCACAATGCATGAAAGGACCGATGAAGGTCATTGGTACACAATTCATATCCCGTCTCATACTTGTTATGGCACGGCGAAAACTTAGCAACCGCTATTCTACGACGCACATAGTAGATATATGATCGATGATTTCTTTGAAAGGCATGTACTGCAGCTTGATTACAAAATGTTGAAGTGTAGTACTCAAATACTTCTGTAGACGATGGGTGGTCGTGATGTAACCTTTTTTTGGTCGTCTTTCCACCATGAAACAAGGCGACAGATGGAAAGCTATGCTATAGGTAATTTGATATAAACCACAGTGGGAACAAGTCGAGCAAAATCCCAAGCGACCTTCACCGAAAATGCCGTGTTTTTTGCGTGTATATTATTATAACACAGTTACAATTTGTCCCGGTGCCAGGAGAACACCCTTAGAACTCGTTAAAATACAGGAAACAGCTATGAATTAAATCATCGCGGAGAGACCCCTGCACGGAATTGATATAAATTCATTTTGACATTTGTATGTCAAAGGCACTCGTGAAAGTATGTATAGTCCAATAATGAGCAACACAAAGAAGTAGCTATGGATTCTGCAAGCCAAAATGTCAGTAGTTTTAATGAAAAAATCACCTGATGACATTTAAATCAATTCTCACAAAGAGAACTACGTTGAACGTCGAAGGAACAACGCAGGCCACCGCTGTGTGATATATATATATATATATATACTACTAGTATAGTGACTCGGAGTTGAAATCGATTACCAGTAACATATTTTTCCCCTCAACAATTAATTACACCTTTTCAAAAGCGGATTATCGAGGGCCTCGATCGATCATAAAAGACGTATAAATTCAAAATTGCGAAACTATCGTCGTTTATACATACACCTGAGCCATATTTGTGTTATACGCGTTAGGGCCTATATCGAATACGACGCTTTGTGCAAGACGCCTGAGACATATATCGAACTCGACGCGCTGTACACGTCGCGCCTTCAATTCGCTATGTAGTAAATGTGACGCAAATTTATGTACAGCATTACAATTACACACACAAAAAGAC